GCCACCTGGTTTAGCCCTTTCCAGGACAAATATGTTTGTTTTCCTAGCAGTCCATGGTATTCTCAATACTCTTCTCCAGCACCACATCTCAAAGGCATCAATTCTCCTATCCTCCCTGGTCATTGTCCAACTCTCAGGTTTTCTTAAAAAAAGTATATACAGGGCTTTCTTAAAACTATATAAAAAACTAGGGAGCTCTGTTGGCCTAGTGGCAAGAAGCTGCACTGCAATTCCAGAGGTAAAAGGTTCGAATCCACCATATATTCTGCTGGAGAAGAATGGGCAATCTCCTCCTGTGCCAGTCGGATCTGATTTGACGGTACACACAAAAAAAATAATAAAATGAAAAAGAACAAACCACTATATAAAAAACAAAATCTGACACTAATATACAGCTTTCGTAGTTCTTAAATTGTGACATTAACATGAAATAATTATGAATTAGTCTGCCTACGAATACAAATGTATGTGGATTTACCAGATATTTAGATTGATGCAAAAGGTGAAAAATGGATGCCAGAAGAGACATTGAAACTTGTTCTTGAATGAACAAAATGATGAAGTAAAAGAGCTGAATGGAGTATTTTAAAGGGCAAGTCAAGAAGATAAAATGTTATAATGCATTGGGCAGTGAACTGGAATTATATAAAGGGGAGGAGCATGAATGAACTTCCGTTTGAGACATGATGAGCATTCAAGCCTTGAGTAACAATACTGAAGAATTCTTTGGATAAGATATTGGCTTGATGGAGGAAACTTAAAAAGGGAAAGAATACACAGTCACTACACCGAAAAGAATTGATTGACTCTTAAATCATTTTAGGAGGTAGCACATGAACAAGAACCAGTGGTGTTGAAGGGTATAAAGGCACCCGGAATTGACTGAATAGTATCAGTTGAAATATTTTAGTAGACAGAGTGCTGGAAGTGCTCATTTATCCCAAGAAATTTGGAAGATGGCTAACCAATTAGAAGTCTTTATTTGTGCTCATTCCAAAGAATCAGAATCAGTCAACAAAATGTGAAAATGATCAAACAGTATTTGTAATATCATACATGGGTAAAATTTTGCTGAAGATAATTGAAAATTAGTCATAATAGTACCTTCACAGGGACTACAAGAGATTCAGAAGAGAACATGGAACAAGAGGTCTCCTCATTATTGTGAGGTGGATTTTAGCTCAAAACAAAGAATACCAGAATGATGTTTCCTTGTATTTTCCTGACCATACAAAAGCATATAAATACGTGGATCAAAACAAATGATGGATAGCTTGCAAAGAATGGGAATTTGGAATACTTAATTTTACTGTGCAGCACAATTACTTGATCAGAACAAAGGGAAATTAAAAATTAGGGACGATTTAAATCAAGGTTATAGTCTTTTGCCATACTTATTCAGTATCCACACTGAGCATATAATCCAAGATGCTAGATGATATGAAGAATACAGCATCAGAATTGGGGGTTTATTGGCAGTCTGAGACATACAAGTAGCATAACCTTGCTTGCTGAAAGGGAAGTGAGACTAGAAGCACTAACACTAATTGATAAAGACTTCACCCTTCAGTATAGATTGCACCTCATTGTAAAGCAACAGTCTTCACAGGTCATGATAAAAGGAAGTAAAGACTGCCGTTGTCGAGGATTTAATTTTATTTGCATTTACAATCAGTCTCCCCTAGAAGCAGCAGTCAAGAAATAGAAAAATTTACTGCATTGAGGAAATTGCTATAAAGTAGTGTTATGAAGCAAAGATACCATTTTGAAGACTAAAGTACTATTGTCCTAAACCATGGTATTTTACTCTCTTTGAATGTGAAAGGTGGATAGTAAATAAGGAAGACTGGAGAAGAAATGATACCTTTGAATTGTGGATTGACAAGGGTTATTGACTAAAACATGGAATAATGGTGCAAGAATGGCAAAATTGTTCTGGATTAAGTACAACCAGAATACTCCTTGCAAGAAAAGATGGTGAAATTTTATCTCTTGTACTTTGAAGAAGACAAAGGCGGAACCAGTCTCTGGAGAACAATACTGTGGTTGATAAAATAATTGTTGTTGTATGCTTTTGAGTTGAAACTGAGTCATAGCTGACCCTCCATGAGATTTTCAGAGACTGGAAGATGTTGAATAGACATGGTAATGCTGCATGGGTTTATAGTAAGGAAAGGTGTGTTTTAAGGATGTATCCTTTCTTCATACCTGTTTAGTTAGTATACTGAATAGAGAAGTTAGACTGAGGAAGCATCAGGAATGGATGCATCAACACCCTGCCCTTTGCAAATCACACAAGTTTGCTGGTTGAAAGTTAGGAGGACTTGAAGCACTTGCTGAAGCCTTTAGTATGGATTGTATCTCAACATCAAGAAAACAAAAATCCTTACCTCTGGGCCAATAGGTAAACTTGATAGATGGAGATTGAAGTTGTCAGCAGTTTCATTTTACTTGGATATATAATCAAAATTCTTGGTACCAGCACTCAAGAAATTAAAAGATGACTTGTAGTGGAAAAAAATCTGCTGTCAAGGACCTCTCCAGAGTACTAAAGAACAGTGATAACCAGTTTAAAGAGTTAAATTCTGCCTGATCCAAGCCATGATCTTGTCTGTTAAAAGTCATGTTGTAAGGAGGGACCCATTTTTGGAAAAGTTCATCATGTTGGAAAGATGGAGGGGTCAGCTTCACAGGGGAAGATCCTCAATGAGATGGGTTGACAAAGTGACTGTAACAGTAGCCTCAAGTGTGTCAGAGTTTGTGAGGATGGCACAGGATAGAGCAGGATTCAGACCGGTTCATAGGTTTACAGTGAGTTGTAGTTGACTTGATGGCACATAAGAAGTCACACACAAGGACCATCTGTTTCCCTTAGAGCAGCTGATGGATTGGAATTATCTGCTTTTGGATTGACAGTGCAGTTCCTTACACAGTAGGCTTTCTGTAGCTCCTCTGGTAAAGTAGAAGGTCAGCTAAAGAGAGAAAGACCCTCAATGAGATGGACTGGTGTGATGATTGCAATAGTGGGCTCAAGGATAGTAGTGAATATGGTGATGGTTGAGGACAGAGTATTGTCTGTTATGCATTGTGTTACTCTTAAGTTGGAACTAATTTGATGGCATCTAACAAAAACTAGATGAAGCAGAAAAGAGAAAGTAAATTTTAGACTAGCAGTTTAGAGGAGCAGAGGTAGATTTGTTAGGGTTACCTGGCTCCTGAGTAGTCTTCAGGTTGGTGGAAGAGAGACTGACCTTGTTGCTTAGCCTGAGAAAAATTTATCTTCCAATTTGTTTAATTTATCTTCCTGGCATCAGAGCCACATATTTTTCTACCTTGACCTGTTTCCTTGTCTAGGTGAATAGCAGTCACAGAATTTACCTCATTGTCCAGCTGTGAATGGAATGTATGAGAATCAGATTGTGTGATTAGAAGTGTAACATGAATGTGTCCCTTGCTGGACAGTTAGCTTTTTGAGAGTGAAGTAGAGAGAAAAAAGTGGTCCTCTGAGGAGAGAAATAATATATTTCCTCTGAAAATCTTAACCTAAAGATTACCAACAACTTTTGTGGTTTGTTTTTCTTTTAGTATCTTTTTGAAAATGGAAGGGTTGATGACATTTTCTCCGATCTTTACTATGTTCGATTCACGGAGTGGCTGCATGAAGTTCTGAAGGATGTTCAACCACGAGTCACTCCACTTGGTAAGTCTCACTGGTACTGGACTTTTTCCCACTGAGTTTTCAAAGATGAATAGCTTCTGTGGCTAACTGTGAGTAAGTAGCCTATAAAACCCAGCTCAGTACCAGTGTGTGAGTGTGCCTGATCATCGGAAGCCCTGTGGCAAAGACATGAGTCAGGCACAGCTAATAGAAAAGTATACTTTTTTTCTCCCCCTATTAAGTTTCTTTTAATTACAATGGGAATGTCTGCTGTTAGGGACCTCTCTAGAGTACTGAAGAACAATGGTGTCTCTCTGGAGACTGAGGTACGTGGGTACAGGCCATGGTCTTTGCAATCACTTGTTATGCGTCAGAGAGTTGGACGGTGACTAGGGGGAGGATAGAAGGAGAATTGATGCCTTTGAGCTGTGGTGCTGGAGAAGAGTATTGAGGATACCATGGACTGCTAAAAAAACAAAAACAGATTCATCCTGGAGAGGTTAAACTGGGCTGCTCCTTGGAGGCAAGGATTCTGAGACTTCGTCTGACATACTTTGATCCTTGGAGAAGGACATCATGCTTGGGAGTGTGGAGGGGACAGCACAGGAGGGGAAGGCCCTCTAGGAAATGGATTGATTCAGTGACTGGAGTTTTTAAGATGGGTGTATCGGAGACACTGTGGCAGTGCACAGGACAGAGTAGAGTTTAGGGTTGTTGTATATAGGGTCGCTATGAGTCACAAGCGACTTGACGACACATAACAACAACAAGTTTCAAAGTTACTCTTCCTTCTGAAAAATCACTACAATTAAGAATTATGAGGGAGCGCTGGTGGCCTAGTGGCAAGACGCTGCACTGCAATCCCAGAGGTACGCGGTTCAAATCCACCAGATGTTCTCCTGGAGAAGGAGGGGCAATCTCCTCCTGTACCAGTCAGATCTGATTTGACGATACACGTAAAAATAATACAATTTAAAAAAAAAAGAATTATGAACCATTTCATTTGCAGGTAGGTTACTCCTCTTACGTTTTACCTACTCATATTTTTGTTAGTGCTTTATCAAAACATGGTTTTTGACTGTCCAGGCAATCTTCCTGGACAGTATATTATGATTGTAAGCGCATGGGCTTTGATTAAAATATTTTGAGTTTTAGCTCTGCATGTGTCATTTTTTATAATGTGTACTACTTCACCTTTTTTTGTTGTTTTTACTGCTTCACCTTTAAATATATGTATATTTTATTGCTTATGTAAATCTTTTGTTAAAGTTTTTAATGCCAAATCTGTTCCAGGGAGTATTCCATGTTATTAGAAAATTCTAACATAGCAATGAACAAAAATGGAGCTTACTAACAATAGGAAGAAACCATTTACAAATTATATCTATGAGTAAGTAAGTGCTTTGAAGAACAAAGCACAAAGGAGTGTGAAATTAAAAGGTCATTAAGAGGGAGACGCCTTTGATGGACTATCATTAGAATAGAAACCTAAATGAGTGAATCACCATTTATACTATAGATTTTTGAGGTTGAGTGGATTTTTCAGGGAATTCCAGTGGCAAGAAGCTGGATTGGAATCCCAGTCATGCAGTTCAAGCCTACTTGCTGCTCCTTGGAAGAATGATGGGCAGTCTCCTCCATTACTGCCTCTAAAAACCCACTGTAGGGTCAGCTATAAGTTGCTTCCACATGGGCAGCACTCAACAACAATAGATTTTTGAGCTGCTTAGAAATATACAAGCTTCCCTTTGTAACCTTTTTGTTACTAAAATTTTAAGCATACATAAATGTGAACAAAATTATTTCCCATGTATTCCATTGCCCATGAAAAATTTTCTCTATATCATTTTTATATCATCATTGCTTTCCCCTCACGTTAATTTGAATCCAACTGCAAACATAAGTTTATCAACAGTCTTGATATACCCACAATGCCATTATTACACTTTTTAAAAAATAAACTAAGCAATAAAATGATTATCTATACCATCAAATATCAAGCCTTTGTTAGAATTTTTTATTTGTCATAAATGTCATAATTTTTCTCTAATCTGAATTGCCCTAAACAAGTGACACATTGATAGTAACTGGTAGTATTTTAATATGTGTTTCAGTTTCCAGTTCCATTCTTTTTCTTTTCTATTTACTTATGGAAGAAATGAGCATTGAAATTGCCTAAAAGTTGTTTTTGATGATTACATCTAACTTTGGTGTAGTTTTAACATACTCCATCCCTTGTATTAACAGTTAAAGGATAATTGTATATAAAAGCTGCCCTATTGGTGCTTTGGTGAATTTAAGTCATAAGTGAGTTATTTTCTTCCATCAGGACACCCTTTAACCTTTAATTTATAGGAGTTGTTAAAATGGGTTTTCTATTGCTATTCATTTATTAAATAGAATACAAAGAGAAATTTAACCTTAGACTCTGGCTTTCCCAGTGGTAAGCATTGTATAGAAGAAGCAGAATAAGGGCTTCTTTTTCTTTGTTTACTAGTTTTCATAGTTCTGAGGTAACTCTTGCTCTAAACCAGAATCTTGACCCACTGCCACCAAGTCAGTCACACTCTAAATTGTTCTTTTGACATAGAATGTTAATAACTTTCTTGATTTCTGGTTTGGCAGAATATTCCTGTCCCACATTTGGAGCCATCCAGTTCTCTGTGTATCCTGGTTCCCTTTAGAGGGAACCTGTGACCTATACATCAGTGTTTTAAAGGTGCTTTTGTTGTTGTTATGTGCTGTCGAGTCTCTTGTGACTCATAGCGACCCTATGTACAACATCCCTAAACTCTGCTGTGTCCTGTGCCAATCGCACTGCCCCTGACACACCCATCCCGATTACCCCAATCACTGAATCAATCCACCTCATAGGGGGACTTCCCCTCCTGCGCTGGCCCTCCACCCTACCAAGCATGATGTCCCTCTCCAAGGATCTGTCCCTCCTTGCAACATGTGCAGTGTATGTTAGACGGAGCCTTAGAATCCTTGCCTCCAAGGAGCAGCCCAGTTTGACCCTTTCCAGGATAAATCTGTTTATTTCTGTGGTACCCACAATATTCTTCCCCAGCACCACAGGTCAAAGGCATCAATTCTCCTTCTGTCCTCCTTAGTTATTGTCCAGCTCGCAAGTAAATCAGTCATTGTTTCTAGGCCTTTCTGTAGGCAGGCTAGAAACAATTTAAAGTTAGCATTTTAATATATAAAGCTTAGATTAAGAATTACAAGGCTTTAGAGGAGCTCTGGTGGCCTAGTGTCAAGAAGCTGAGCAGCAGTCTCCTCCTGTGCTATTCATATATGACTCTGTGGTAGCAGCAAGGAAGAAAAAGAATTTACAGGGCTTTTACCTCTCATTTATATCTCTTCCTACACTGAGTCCACCTTCTCAGGTGCTATAATTAACATTTAAATTGTTTCTGAGAAGGGAGTAAAGTCAGAAAAGTAATACCAGGAAAAGGTGGCAGAGTGATTCCAGAGAAGGTGGCATGTACCAAAGTGTCCATGGTACCACCTCTAGGAACTGATTATCTCAAGAATTGCTGTCTTCTTATCCTGCCTCTGGGAGGCTTCAAATATATCTGAGAGGAGGAAAGATGTTTCATTGTCAGACACAAATAGCCAAAGGGTAATAAAAATCAGAGACATTTGCATTCAAGAGCTGATGGTAAGTGGTATACTTGTGGAACTAGAACACTAGCTTGCCCAAGAACAGGGAGGAAAGCCTATAGTGAGCAGAATGTTCCTTTTTCTACTTCCTGGAACTGCTACCTTTCATTGCCTCCCTGAAGAATTCTGAAGCCCCTCTAGGGGATGCGGGCTCTGCTGCTATCTTCTTGACACAAACTATTGCTCATTGACTGTTGGATGAGAACAAGAAGAACGATTGATAATCAACCATATGCCATCTTATTTGGTAGCGGACTAGGCCACCCAGGGTCCTTGGTCAAACCACTGGCCTCTGCTCTGTCCAGCTTTGCGATTGCGTATGAACTAGACTTTTATAATGCATTCCCTGTGGGAGAAACTTGTAATTGTTTTGAATGTCAACTCCTTTATCCACACAGGTAGGTAAGAATAAAGAATAGATCTGTCTGCTTCTAAATACAGTAGACATGAAAAGAAAGGCATAATTTTCAGGTTTTTTGGACCTGGACATCTTTGAAAATAAGGTGACATAACCACACACCTTGAGGAATGAGTGATCCTGAGGCCCTGGGACCATAGTCTAGTGGTTCATTAAGGTCAGTTGGCATAGCACAGTCCACGAAGACTACTACTTTGGTGAGTAACAACTGTGATCTTGAAAAAGCTTTTGAGTAGCCATCTCAGGTGCACTTATTGGTCCCCTCCTCTCCAGAACAGAGAATAGTGAAGAGAAGCAATTTGTCCAAAGGACTAATGGACTCTATGAAACTCAACTCCTCTGACTCACACAGGAAAGACTTTCTTTCCCATGGCCATCACCACTGGCTGCACTAAGTGGGATCATAATAGTAGATCCTGGATAGAGTAAGGAAAGTGTAAAGCAAAACTCAAAAAGTGGAAAAAATTTATTACTAGAGAATGGTGGAGCCCCAAGACTGTCACCCTTAGTCATCCTTGAATCTGGATCAAAGCTCACTTAATGTGGCTCATTTTCAGCTAACTAGTCGATAACAAATAAATGACTAGTAACACCAGGGTGGTAATTATCCTTTAGAATACCTTCCCATCTCAGCATTTGCCCCAGGATAAAGCCCAGAAGACAGGGAAATGGTAGAAGGATTAATAGAAATGAGAATTGTGAGAAAGATGCACTGACATTGTGGATATTTTAATTAATGTTCTAAACCAAAATGTACATGAATGATTGAATGGAAAACCTGTTTGCTTTGTAAACTTTCACTCAAAAAACACAATCTTCTGTTAAGATTAACTGCCTCTGAAAACCTTTGGAGGGTCAGCTATGAGTCGGTTCCAACTTGACAGCACACAAGAAGATGAAGAAGGAACAGTATTGTATTGTTTTTATCAGATAGGATCCTCACAACAACAGCATTAGCATCCTCTGAGAGCAAGTTAGAAATGAATTCTTGGGTCCCACTCCAGGGACCCACCAGTCTCTAACAAACTTTTTGGATGTTTGTGCCACACTCTAGGGAAACTTCCATTATTGGACTTGTACTCTTGAGTAGGCATTGTTGTGCCTCACTCCTAGTAGTCTAGCCTTTTGAGGGACTTCCTACCATCCTCTTGTTGTAGCCATCCTCTCTTCCTCCTAGGCTATGTCCTGCCCAGCCATGTGACTGAGGAGATGCTGTGGGAGTGCAAGCAGCTTGGGGCTCACTCCCCTTCCACCCTGTTGACCACCCTCATGTTCTTTAACACCAAGTAAGTGTTCTGGTGGCTCCATGCTCAGCCACTGCTGGGGTCTTCCCAGTGAAGAGGGTGGAAGCTATCCAGGAGGTCTTCTGAATTCCTCTGATGCATATTTGAGAGCCTTTGGGCTGCTAAAAGCCCCCAACCCCACTTAGCTGCATTTTGTGTGGAGACCGGGGAGGCATACAACCTTGCCATACCCTTCCCATCAGTCCTGATGGGGCTCCTCCATGAACACTGTGCTTGGGTGTGGGCCTGCCTAAATCCTGAATGGGCAGTGGCTTTTCTGAAGCACTGATGGGTGGAGGGTAAGTCACAGTCTCTTTCCCGGCACCCCTCCCTCTGCCTTGCTTTCCCTTGCGGTCCAGGTACTTCCTGTTAAAGACAGTGGACCAGCACATGAAGCTGGCCTTCTCCAAGGTTTTGCGACAGACAAAGAAGAATCCCTCAAATCCCAAGGACAAAAGCACGAGTATCCGGTACCTGAAGGCGCTTGGTATACACCAGACTGGCCAGAAAGGTAGGTCAGAGGGTAGTAGCTGTAAACTCAGATGTTCATAATCAGTGTGAAGACTGGTTTTGACCCATGGGAATGTTACATTTCCTTCTCAGCCAAGAACTTTAAACTTTCATCCTAGAAATATT